AAGACCTCAATGAGATGAAGGCGGTTTAAAGGTTGAAGGGACCAAAGATAATCAAGACTGTAAACTGGCCCCTCCTGGGACTCTGGATGCCCCCAAAGGCTGCATCTAGGTGCTCACCTCCAGAAATGAGGCGTTTGTTTGTTTGTTTGTTTGTTTGTTTGTTTGTTTGTTTGTTTGAGACCGGGTTTGGTTTCTTTCCTGGCTGTCCTGAAACTCACTATGTAGACCAGGCTGGCCTCAAACTCACAGACATCCGCCTGCCTTTGCCTCCCCAGTGCTGGGATTAAAGGTATGGATAAGACTTGGGGGATTTATGTGTGTTTGCTTTTGCTATCCTGGGGACTGAGCCCAGGGACATCTTTTATACCAGGCAAATATTCTATCACTGATCTGGAACCCCCAGCCCAGCAATTTTGTTCTGGTTCAAGACAAGGTCTCGATTTGTATCTATCCTTGGCTGTCCGGCGCTCCCTATGTAGACCAGGCTGGCCTTAAAGTCACAGAGACCCACCCGAGTTTTGGGATGAAAGCCATGTGCCACCACACTGGCTCAGGAATCTTTTTGAAGTCTCCAATCCCACTCAGTTCACCTTCTCACGGCAAGACTGGCCCTACAGTTAATTGTGCCACCACTAGGCCCATGACTCCTCAGATGCAGTTACCCACCTGTGGGAAAGCTTCCCCGGGGGAAACCAGGAGAACACACTGTCTTCAGGGGAGAGGGAGCTGCATGTTCTGTTACCTGCTTTCTGTGTCCCCATCCCTGGCCCTCAGGGCCCTTCAGAGAACACCTGCCGCTGGCCATCAAGGATCAGTGGAGACTTATCTGGAGGCTTGAGGGGAGCTGCAGGTGCTGCCCCTCCCCCAAGCCATCGGCATGAACCAACCCCATGGGGACCAGCCACCCAAGAACAATGAGCGTTGGGCCACAACCAGCCATGTGGAGCTGGTGGCAGGGTGGGTGCAAAGGTTAGTTCCTTTTTCTCTACCTTCAGTTCATGAGGTCACTGGCAGATCAGGCACCAAGCTAAACCCCTGGGGATAGGGGGCTATGTTCCCTCAGGGTCTCAGGTGTTTCCTCTTTTGACATCAATCTTCAGAATCCCAACTCCTATGTCTTCTGATTTGTCTTTTTTTTTTTTTTTTCTCTCACAGGATCTTGGGGTCATCATGACTGTGGCTGGATGTTGAACGTTATTGCAGAGGAAGGAAAACAAGATTCAGAGGAAAAAGAGAGGTCCAAGGTCAGGGCAGAAGTAGGGGACACACAGAAGACATTCATCCTGTACCCCAGACCTAGGGATCAAAGTTATAGGCAATGGAACAAAAGTAGTCGGCGTCGTCTTCCGGCTGCACAGGCCTGATGGTCAGCACACTGACATTGTGGGCCACATCCGTGGTAGCTGAGAACCTGTCAGGAATGTCATCGGGCCGATAGTGCTCTTCTTCTGAATGGTAGTAGAGAAGTTGGGGAGCACTCCCCGGGCGCTGCTGATACCAGGACACACCAAAGTCCCCAATGGTCGCATGCTGGGAGTTGATTGTGCAGCTGAGTTGAGCCACTTGGCCTGGGAAGACCAGTAGTGCATCAGGATGGGTCAGGGTTGGCTGGAAGACTGAAAGATACAGACCCACTGAGGGCTAGCCTGGGCCCCTTCCTTCCTGCTTTGCTATTTTATTAGACCCCCCCACAAGGAGACTCCCAAAATTTTCATGGCCCAGTGCCATAGGATTGGCCCTGGGTGGAGCATGGAGGGCCTGGTTTCATGAGAGTTACTCTGCTCTCTACAACTCCATTTTCCTCTGTGAATGAGGGCTTTGTAGAAGGTGATGCCTAAATTAGCATTATTGTCCTGTCTCCAAGAATCCATGTTCAGCTGAGAGCCTAGTATTCAAGCATGAAGCTGGAACCTTCTAGGTCCCCCAGGACCTACTCCCCTCTTCTCTGTAGGCCCTAGCCCCTCAATCTACCCTAACCCTGGCTACAGGCTAACTGCCCCCAGGAACCTCTCAGGATGTATAACCATCATCTTTAGTTTCAAGC